GGGTTTTCACCACCCTTTTAATCAAAAAGGGAAAAAAAGCCCCCCCCCCCCCCATCCTCACCCCCTATTTGCTGTAAGCAACAGGCCTGGACTGTCATAACTATCCCCATAGCTTTGAGAAGGGTTTGGATCTGTTCTTCTAGGGCAGATCTAGACTCTTCTAGAGCTTGAGAGGGGTCATTGGTAGCTTCCCATTTCAGCTCACTGAGCAATGCAAGACTTTGGGCAAATGTTGTAGATAGTCTGGAAGTAGATGTCCTCAATTTTTTAAAACTGCAGTATCATAGTCAATGGAATAATGTATTCCTGCCTGCAGCTTGCCAATGAGTATGGGTACTGCCACTGCGTGCTTCTCAGGATTGCTGGATGTTTGCAGTTTCCTAGGTCTTGTTTTTATTAAAAACAGGGTTTTTTTTTGGTTAAAATCATGTTTTTAACGGAGGTGCCATCAAACAGCAAAGCATCTCTCAGATAGTAAGTTGAATTGAGGAGCAAAAGGTTCAGCTGTCCTTCAGATGGCTGTTAGACCTTTTTGCTGCTAACCTAATTTTCATGCAAGGAAGAAAATTCTTTTCTGGAAGAATCTGTGTGAATTCAGTGTGAAGAGAAAGAAAGTGTCACAGTAAACCAGGTTAGTGTTCAAAGCAGGGGATTACATAGGCCTGACAATGTAACTGGAGAAAGCACAGGAGGTTTTAAATATTCTCCCCTTCAGCCAAGGCCTGGGTGAATAGACGGGAACAGTGAAGGAAGCACGTATTAAAAATGTGCACTCGATCAAGCTGTAGTAGAGTCCAATTAATGTGCTACTCAAGAATGTCTGTAAACTTTTTAAACTAAACAAGGACATCTATGGATTGTTGGAGGTATCCACTGCTTGGAATGAAGCTCTGGTCTGGTCCTGCTGGGAAGTCCTCTAGCAGCAATTCTGCCCTCTTGCTTCAATCCTTATTCAGTCACGAGGAGTTTTATAATTCACTCCTGAGGGAACAATTGGTGGTTTTGCTAGCACTGTATGTATGAACTAGAAGGGGTCATAGCTTGCAAACCACAGGTCAGCTTGTGAGATTTAGCTTTTTGAATACAGCTAGGCCGTGTCTGCACATTCAGTTACTGTACTCCAGAGCAAAATACTTAGGCATGCCGTGCTTCTCCAGAAGCCGCACCTGCATGGTGCCAGGGGGTGCTAATTAAATGGGATGGGCTAACTGGCCTAGACAAACCCACACGTGAACATGGCCACGCTGCTCTCAGTGTAAGAAGCAGCGCTCCTGGAGAAGTGCTGCATGCTCAAAGATACCATATGTTTACTGTGTATGCATGGCTCTGAGGATTGAAATGAGACGGTTCGTGGAGAAAGGCTATGCGTGAAGTTTGTTTTCCCTGTCGGTACCAGGGCTGCTGTTCACACTGGGTGAAGTGGAACTTAAGTGGTTCCTAGAGACCTTGTGATTTTTCCAACTGTTTAACCAAGGAGCTGCATCTACTGTCTCCTAGTATATCTCTTCTCTGTAGGGCTGGCTGGGGAGAGAGAGGGGATTCCCTTTCTGCACATGATTACAGCATCTCTGAAATGACGTACAGTTTGCACCGTTCCGGACCGTACCAGACTGGGTTTTGAGCTTAGCAGTATTTGTCTTCTCCAGAAGGTGCTTTGTGGCTACCCTGTACAAAAGAGATCTATTTATCCAAGCACTGGTCCATGAAACTCTGATAGGCAATAGCGTGGGGGGCAAGTGGGACAGAAGGGAGCAAAAACTAACAAAGCCGCACAGGCGTTTTTACATCTAGTTAGATAGTACTGATCATGAAGGTCATCCCCAGATAAGAGATAAAGGGAAAACTTCCATTAGGTACTTTGAGGTAGAAGCCTGTCCTCCTCTAGGACCTACATCCAGCCAGCTCTCCTGAGTCAAAACCCTTTTCAGTCCACTCAGCTTTTAAATTATGACATTGAGGTTTTTAATGGTTTAAATCTGAAAACTGAGCAGCTGTTAGCCTGTTAGCACCTGCGTCTTTCATAAATGAACAGGATGTTACAGCTCTCATGCACACATGTGCTGCTTAAGTGCCACTTGCTTGTGTTCTTTGGTAGCTATGAAAAGCAAGGGCAGTTAGTTGTGTGTCTATGAAATAGTGAGCCACAGTTCCACTAACTCTTAGAGATGAGTCGCATAAAGCTATGGTTTCAATCGTCCACACATGGAATTTGTAACCCTAGTTCTTGAAGCAGCAGAGAATCCAAAAATTCATCTTGGAAAATTAGTGATTTTGGGCACCGTAAAATACAGTCAGTCACAGAGTGCGACTTAGAGAGAATACTCTGCTGAAGTCATCGAGGGTGAGGCATGCTTCTGTTTTGTCTCAGTTATGGCTTGCAGTTATAGTTTCAGTGTTGTCTTTTCTCCCCCCCGACCTTTTATAGTCCAGCCAAAATACCATCAGGGCCTAGACAACTGGGAGCAGCAGAGATCTGTTTGCTGTTGTTTTAGTAATATATAAGTGTGTTGTAGGAGTTTGCTTTGAAATGTATAGGTGGAGCAGGAGAGAAAACACCTGAGGCTGAATTTCTGCAGCAGGAAACAGTCCTGGAAGGAAAAAGAAAAGTGAAAAAGTGGTGGAACAAGGGAAAACAGATAGAAAATGCTTCTTTTGAAATGGCAGCTATGAAAGGAAATATTCTTATGATGTATTTTTAGTATTGGCATTAGACATACACTTCTTGGATATAGACACCTGAGGCCTCAGTATACACCTAGGATGAAATTCTGCCCCTACTCCAGGCAGTGTCAAAACTTCCATTGGCTTCAGTGGGAACAGGATTTCACCCATCAAGGGAGCAACAATGCATGTGTGATTAGGGATTGGCCGCTCTAAAGGAGGATTGGCTATGCCCGGTACTACAGTCTATGATAAAATTGCACTCTGATAGCTTGTCTGTTTGCAGTATTTATTTTAGGGGCTCTTACTAGTGTCAGTGGTCTGTGTTCATGCCCCGGCTCTGCAGGGATATTCAAGTGCATTTACAATCAGAAAGGTAACTGCGTAAAGGCCCCTTCTTTCCCCATAGCTCTCTTCCCTCTGTTCGTTCTGAGTCAGGCCTTGCACTGACGCACGGCATCTTCAGTTTGTTTTATTCCAGGTGGCTCTGCAGAACCAGTCCTGTTGTGGGAGGGAGCTGGGTTATGTCATGACAATTGTTAAGTAAGTTCCAGCTGCGAAACCTTTGCAGGAGGTGTTGATGTGTGAATCTGACATTCAGATCTCAGGCTGAGTTGGCAGAGCTGGCAGTTGGGTGGCATGCCGTTTGACTCTTAAACTGATCAGATTATGAAGGGGCAGGACTGTGAAACCACTACCTGTAATGCAGCTTGTTCTGCATAATCCCTTGTCAGAGTAGATCAATTCTAATGTCATACTTTCTCGTCAGTATGTTTTAGTGCTGACAGAACACATCCACTTTAAAACTCTCCTACTTTCCTTCTCTCCTTTTCTATGAGTCATTGTGTTTTGTCTTCCCCCACCAGATATTCAATCTCATGAAGTACGACAGCTACAGCCGCTTCCTAAAGTCAGACATATTTCTAAAACAGAAGTCCGAGGAACAGGACGAGAATTCATCAGAGGCTCAATCTGCAGCAAAAAGAGCATCAAGAATTTACAACACATGATCCAAAGAAGTCTTTTAGGACAAGCAATGAAAAATTAACTCAACTCTCAGGAACAGTCTTTGTGTTTATAACAGTTGCATTTAAAGCTTGAAAAAGCACAACATCCTTTTAAGGGATACTTACCTTTTAAGTGGCTTGAATGACTAATTGGTTTTGCATGATAGCTAATACCAAACACCCCTGAAAAGACTGTTTCCTAAACTGCAAGGCTGGGGAATTCCTAGGTAGCATGAATTACTTTCTGCATTTCACAAGTTAAAATGCTTTCCAAAACTTGCATTTTTGTGAGGCATCACAAACGTACAACATGGAAGACAGGGTTGCTTTTGCCTTTTGATATTTTTTTACCTTTTCTGCTTATATATTTGTGAATTATTGGGAGCAGATATGGAGTAGCATTGTAAGTTACTTTCTGGATGAGTCATTCAAAGATGAGTTTACTGATTATCATTGCAGGGCCATATGTTTTAGGGTTAATTCTAATAAAACCCAATTTCTAACCCCCCCTTCAAGACGTAAGCCTCATTTTTCAAACCTGTTTCTAGGAGAGATACTGAAAGGCTATTTCAGTTTCGGATTTGCCTTTTTGTTGAACTAACAGGGGGATTTCTTTAGTCAGGATTTTCATTACTGCATTTTTCTAATTTCATGACATTTCCCATAACAGACTATCAGCTGCTTTGGAAGATAGAAGCCAATAGCCAGCCAACAGAAACAGTATGTCAAATGTTTTAGGACAAATTACAGTGTTTTTGTACCTAGGATGAAACTATAATGAAAAAAATCAAGATGGAAAAGTATCCTTCACAATACTCAAAACGCATTAAGAAACCTGCCAGCTGCTGCCCCATTTTGGGCCTGAGGTCTAGAGTGCATGTTTAGCACTTGAGCCAGCAAGCGTATAATTTTGAAGTCAAATCAAGTTTTGGCAAACATTAGGTTTCTCCCAGCCACCTGAGGCATCCTGCCCCTGCTGCCAGAAGCTCTGTTGCAGAGAATGCGTGAAGTACCAGTCTTCACTTTCTTCAGTTTTACTTTGCTAAAATCATTTGTTCTCATTCAGCCTGATTTTGTTTCTCCCAAACAAATGTTTTAGGCTTTTCAGTGCATGTATTTTAATACCTCCAACAGAGCAGCAAGGTATTAAAATGTGGTATTGCCATTTCCATGGCATGCTTGAGATGGTATTCTCTGGGCAGAGGTAAACTCAATATATTGATGTTGAAATGTCAAGAGTAATAAAGGAAAAAGCAGGTGGAAAACTGCACCAATGAGTCCTCCTGGTCAGTCTGGAGTAGTTGCAAAACATTCTTGGCATAAATTCTTTAATGTGTTTATATTTTTTGAATTCATGAATTCACTGTCAAACTATGAAGTTGCATTTTAAAACTGGGAGAACATATTGGCTGGCATCTTTTATTTACAAGGCTCATTGTGTATAGTCTGGCTGTGACTCACATTCCCTTGTTATTTACGCTCTTATTTTTTGGTGCAGACTTTCTGTACCAGGCTTTCGTGGACATCTTTTTATGAGCTGTCTAATCAGCTGGCACAATTAACTTTCAATTATCTTAAATTCTCTCTCTCTCTCTCTCTGTCTTGCGAAGGTCAGTTGTGTATTATACATTACCGTTGCTATCAACATTTTTTAAAGCCAGACCTACATTGTAATTTTCTAGGAGGAGAAATCTATAAATAGTCTTGCATATGACTCTCTTTGCCTGTGTATAAAGAAGATTGCTATTGTGGCCTTTTCTTCCTTTAATACATTCATATAATGGTAATAGGAGTTCTGAACAGTCATTAGGAGAAAAATGACCTGTTAGCTTTCAGGATATTAAGCAGAAGGTCAGTCTCTCCATTTATAACTATAGTTCAGAGTAAGTTTTTCCCTTCATATTTACAAAGTATTAAATACCAAGGAGTGGGGACATTTTCATTGAAACTTGAGCACATGCTTAAGCAAGGATTTAAGTGCTTTGCAGAATATGAATGAATGAATAAATACTTTTTGGAATTGGGACCCAAGTGAGCAGTATAACCTCTCTCATTTTCTATATTCAGTAATTCTTTTTAGATTCCATCCTTAAAGTAATTAAGAATAAGTGATAAACATATTCTGTCTCCCTCTTCTCCCCCCTATCCGTGCCCAGAAAAACCCAGAAGGTAAAATTCTGGCATGATTGAAGTTAAAGGGAGTTTTGCCTTTGATTTTAATGAAGTTAAGATGTCATTCATAATCTATTTTGGTGTATATACCTATGTTCTTAAAGCTTCAGTTTATTTAATAGATCTTTCTTACTGTCCATGTTATGTGGAGGTATTTCTTAAACTGTGACACTGAATATATTCATCAGACGCATTATGATCATGCTTAGAAAGAGAATGTTATTCCTTTTAGTATTTTAGAAGAGACATAGCACTGAGTGAAATGTATCTTTGGTCCAAATGTTTGAAGAGGTGTATCACCTCTTCAATCTTTGGGTGATGGACTAAACTAAGCACCTGATTCTTAGTATCTCAAACACTGGGAAAGATGAAGAGTAATAAGAACAACAATTAGAAAACCAAGTAGAGCAGAAAGGTCTTAAGTGGGACAGGATCTCCACTCCGTGAACTGGGTTCATATGAAAGTAGGGCTGGAAGGGACCTCACAAGTCCTCTAGTCCAGCCCCTGCTCAAAGCAGGGTTATCCCTAACAGCCAAGTCTTTATCTAATGTACTCTTGAAAACTTCCAAGGATGGAGGTTTCCACAATTTCTCTAGGTAGCCTGTTCCAATACTTGGGTACTCTCATAGTTATAAACAAACAATAAATACCTAATTACAGTTGTCAGTCTTTTACCTATCCCACTTACCTATCCTGTCCCATCAGGATTTAGGATAAGGTTTAAAAGTTTCCAAAGACTTTGTAAGAATCATAAAGCAGAGTTTTCTCACCTGTAAGACAAATTATACCAGCCAGCTAAAGAATATTGCAACTATAGCACTGGTACATGTGGATATCAGCGGAGGGGATTGTTTTGACTTCATGCAGTATCCCTTACCATATTCGTTTTTTAATACTGGTACGTATACATTTTTTCTTTAAAGTAAGTGGCTGATGCTTTGTTATAAATCCACACTGTTTATACATTTCCATATGCATAAACCCTCACCTGTAAGAATCACTCTGTACAATTGTCATCTCCTGATTCTGCACATGGCCATTCTGGAATATGTGGCAATCATAATGGCTAACTCTTCCCACAAAGTTCACATGGAGGTAAAATGCAAGTAAGAGAAGCTTATTGCCTGATATTTTAAACTGCCAAAGTCTACCCTAACAGATGAGCCTGAGCCAAGAATGGGAGCTACAAATAAGCAAAAGCTGTGTGCTGAAGTTTGTTTGATGTTTTAAAATACCAGCTGGTGGAGGCTGCAATATATAATGTGTCCCTCCTTCCATTTTCCACATTCAGTCATTAGGAGCCCTTTTGCTTTTGTGTGCTCTCATTTTCCTATCACTGCTAATAACTGGGTACAAGTCATCCTTCACCGGAAAAATATTACACTTATGAGTACCTTTTTATGGGGTAGCTGAGTTGTGCAAGTCTCACTTTAGAGTCAGCTTGTGTTGCTCATTAAAGCACAATACAGCAAGGATCATTGCTGAGGAGCAGCAGGTCCCCCTTTACCTGCCTTTTTCCCTCTCCATTCATTTCCCTGCCATTGCAGTCTTCCCGTCTCCTTCATTTCAGAGGCACTACATTGCTAACACAGTGAATTAGGAGACTGAGGAGATTTGCAGAGAGCAATGGGGAAGAGGGCTTTGAAATACTGGAAGCTGTACCTTTGGGATAACAACTGAGAAATTCCTTCTGGGCATCTTACTAGGGACTCTGATTTGGCATTAAAGTGAAGCCAAGCTAGAGGTACTTGCCTCTGGATTAGGTGTGGGTCAGCATTTAAGATGGGGCAGAGGAGCTGAGGCAAAAGCCTGATCTCGGGCGTAGAGCTGGGTTCTCACTTTGTGACATTTGTGAGATTTCAGGACAAGACGAGGCAGACTCAGCAATGTCATATAAGGTTGCACTATAGTGGCCAGCTGGCTCGCAAGAAAAGCTGTTTGTACGAGAATCCCATTATCATGAGGTTATAATCACACTGGATCTTAAAGGCAGGCTCCTCAAATTGAAATCCAACCCAGAGCCAGAACCAGAGGGGCATGATCAGGTCCAAAGGCCTGAGTTTTTATTCCAGTTGCAAGGTCTCAGCAGAGTTCCTCTAGTCCAGAGGCTTCAGCACACTTTTATTGTGTGTTTGTCTCAAGGCTTGGCAGCAGCTGCATAACTTCTGGTCCCTGTTCTCTGTTTTAAGATAAAGTGAGATGCTTTAAATTGGCAGTAAAATAAGACTGTCCTCTTAGCTGATCAGATAGATGAGCAGGAGGGTAGGAGTTCAATGTGAGCCCAAATCCTGGGCCTTTTGGGTGTGAGGGAGGGACCAGGACTAGGTTTATTACTGAGTTTGGTTGACCTTTGAGAAGTGAAATCATTGCCAAGTTTAACAGCACCCTCTACCGGCCACTAAAAGAAGAAAACAAGGGAGATGGACTGAGTTGCAGTGAGACAGCTTATAAAGAGATGTTAGAAATTTAGAGGGTTTGTTAAAAGTGACAAAAAATAACGGTGTCTTTATTGCCTGGTAAGAATGCACCCTGTTAAGGTACAGTAAAGCTGCTCAGGGCTCTAGGAAAGGTAACTTTGGGTTAATGCTTTCCTAGTGCCCTTGTCTCCCTGCTTCACCTGTGGCAAGGTAAAGGGTGTTTTTAATGTTTCAGGTACTACGCCTGGTAGTTTATGAGGGTTGTTCCTGGAGTTTTTAGGAACAGGCCAGGAAACATTTTAGGATGTTTCAGCCAGGGATGTTCATACCTTGAGTTCAATGTGAGCCCAAATCCTGGGCTTTTTGGGTGCGAGGGGCTTGGTCTAGATGACTTTCTGAGGTTCCTTCTAGCCCTACTTCTCTGTGGCCTATTTTCCTATACTCTGCTTAACGTAGATATCCAAACTCCAGTGTACTTGAAAACTGAAGTAGAAAGATGTGTTGAAAGCTGATAATATAATTAAGCCCTACACAGACTATGTCAGATTTGAGAAATACTAACAAATAACCTTAGCAACAATTTAGCATTTTTCCCCCACTATTGCTCTTTCTTTGTATGTGTGTGGGCACTGTTGAATCTGTGACTATCAGAACATTTCCTAAAGATAACAGGCATGCCGATTTTTTTTTCTTCTTTTTTTTGCCATACACAAAGCATAAATGTGGTTAAACACTCATTTCCACTGTTCTTTTCAAATGCTTTTGCTGTTTTGAATGTAAAATATTTAAGAACATGTTGGTCCTACAATCTGGTCTCGAGGTTTGTTTCTCTGTCTAAACAAACATGCCAGCCAGACTTTTGCATTAGAAAATCTAGCTGAGAAATGTAATTCTGCGTTGGTTAGAAAAATGGGAAGCAT